TCGAGAGGTCAGTCTAACGCGTAGACTTTCGCGACCAGTATTATTCATCAATGGTTTTTGGGTTAGATCGCGTTAAGTATAATTGTGTCGCAACCCTCCACCACCTGACACGGCCAATCAGTAAAAAATGTCAGATTAACAAAACGCCAATTAAAATTTTGATTCAAAGCTTTCATGACTGCAGGGATTCATAGTCTTGGTTCTTTCGGTAAAGTCACGTAGAAGGGAAACAATAAAATAATAAAAATATAAAACAATAAAATTATCACGTTTCGACTGCAACACAAGCAATCATCATCAGGTGTGAAAACCACAGCAAGAAATTTTGAAAAAATTGGCGTTTTTTTGTTAACGTTAGCACCACGGAGAGCAATTTGGCAGTTATTCAAATGGACGAGTCCATCTATGTTCGGAAAAGAGGAGGGGGGAGACGAAAATAATGGATGCGGTCTGAAAGCCACCATAAGCGTGAACAATCAATTAAGACCCGCAATGGTTTATCAAATCCTTCCAATGATTGCTAAGCCAGAATCCATCTTCTCGGTTGAAATTGTCTGTGTTTGTATATGTGGATAGCCTCATGAACGAATCTCTCATGGAAGCCAGATGGCTTGCAAAGAACCTGTCTTGGAGAAGTCAATGTCATGTGAGCCTTCTGAATTATAACAGTGATCTGCCACGGCCGAGGTGTTGGTCCTACCGTGTTTTAGGTCTGCTTTGTGTTCACGAATGCGGTCCGAGACATGTCGTTTGGTTTCTCCAATGTAACTACCACAGAGGCAACTTAGTTTGTAGACGCCAGGAATCACATTTTACAGACGGAACCAGATCACGAATTTTATGTAATGTGTTGAATCGAACCTGGATCTTGTGTTTATTCAAGATTTTGGAGATCTTTTTTGTGATCCCCGCAATGTAGGGTAAAGTGATGGTTTTGAAAGGCTCCTCAAGAGGGTCCTTCTTCATGGTTGGAGTGATAGCTTTGCGGATTGTGTAGTCGGAGTAACCATTAGCCTTAAGAGCTTGGTGTACGTGCTTGAGTTCACTGGCTCCGTGGTGCTAACGTTACAAAAATAACCGCCACTTCAAATTTTCTTGCTGTGGTTTTCACACCTGATGATGATTGCTTGTGTTGCAGTCGAAACGTCGTGATAATTTTATTGTTTTATATTTTTATTATTTTATTGTTTCCCTTCTCCGTGACTTTAGCGAAAGAACCAAGACTATAAAACGCCAATTGGTTATTTTTTTTCTCCACCCCTACAGCCGACCTCTTCATTGTTGCCGCGGTGATCCACTTTTCTCCAGTGACCCGGGTGCTGCTGCGGGGTCAACTTTCTGCTACGCCTCCTTCCCTTCTCTCTCCCGCCCCCTACTGCCGAGGCCTACGATATAACCTCGTGCCACGGTAGATCTCTCGCCTACTTCAGCAGTTTTTTCTTGCTGTGGTTGTCCCACCTGATGACGATTGCTTGTGTCGCGATCTATACGTCGTGATAGATTATTTTTCTACCTACATGACTTTACCGAAAGAACGAAAGAGTCCGCCGATTGGTTACTTCTTCAGCCCACCGGTGTGTTTGAAGAGTGAATCCACACTCTAAATGTTGTGGATTCACTCTTCACAAACACACCGGTGGGCTGAAGAAGTAACCACTGTAATTGGCGTTTTGCTAACGTGACATTTTTTACTGATTGGCTATGTCCGATAGTGCAGGGTTGCGACACATTCATAAGAACGCGATCTAACCCAAAAAAACATTATTATGAAGTCTACAGGTCTCTATGTAAGACGATACAGGTCTTTATGTAAGCCTCCAGATCTGCACGCAGGTCTGCCTACCGGCCCATAGGTCTCCACGTAAGTTTACAGGTCTGGAAGGAGCGTGGATGTGACGAGGGAAGAGGCACGGAACGAGAGGGCCATGGAGAAAGACGACACGAGGAGATGGCCCCAGAGCAATTGATCAATGGGGGGCCTTTCGCCCGAATAAGAAAAAAAACCGACACCACCAGAGACACCACGACCCCCTACTCGCTGCACGAAACACGAGCACCGGGGAGGGAGGGGGGTCACAGTAAATCCGCGGCCGTCAGCGCAACACAAACACAGCCGAGGCAGAAGCGGCGTGTAACCAGCACGGGGCTTTCGTCGTGTTTTTATTATGACCGCCATCGCCATCATCGCCATCGCCGCCAGCACGCGTGTTGTGGTCTCGCCGACGTTGGCAAAGAGCTTTTCGTGTTTGAGGATCGCGCAGCCTGGGAGGCTGCTGCGCAGTGGTGCACCTGGACCCAGGATCCAATCAAAGATGATCTTACGTGCAGTCATCGGTCACCCGAGGCCAGGAAGCTCGCTGTGCTTGTTGACGGAGCCTGGCCGGGCGGCTGAACCCAGCGTGTCTAGAACCACCCACCAACCCCCCCCCCCCGCCCCATCACCTCCCCCACCCCCCCCCCCCAGAGCCACCCAACCACGACAACCTTGAGCAATTGAAACATGAAGGCGTAAATTTGGCGAGCCAGTGATTGTGCAAAGTAGTGCACGTCCTTTGGCGGGCGTTGGCAGCTAAGAAATAATATCAAATATTACAAACGCCACGGCATTGTTGCAACCGCCATTTACGAAAGTGCCAAGTCCAATGAAAAGGGAATCAAGACGATGGGCGGTGTCCGTACGTGCCACGCTTGGCTTATCCGACAGAAAGCTTTCACAAAGGGAGAATAAAAATAAAATAAAATAAAAACCGGCACAATTTCCCTGGGAGGCACCAAGACCAGGGGCCGGCAGTGAAAGGGAGAGAGAAAAAAAAAAACGCACCATCAGCTTGCGTCGTTGGGAACACATTTTTCGTTCCTTAAATTTTCTTTAAATAAAACAAATCGACAAGCATCTCTGAGAACGGCCGCCGCAAAACCTGCGGCGGGGAGAAGCTGCTCGAATTTGGAGAAAGCTCCTCCGCTCGGAAATGACGGCAAAGCCCTGCAGGATCGGGCGACAGGATTTAGCAACGCGCTTTCGGAGCATTTGGCTGCCGTGAATTTCCACGCGATAAGCCACTTCTTGTAGAGCTCTCATTTGTGGCCAGGTCGTGTCCGACAAAGGGCTACGGAGCTCAATGGGCCTTACCACCTGGTAAAATAAAAACAGTTTTAGATTCTAATCTCTGACTGTCGTTGTAAGATCATCACCCCCCTACCCCGCCCCACCAGCT